TTTTGCCAATACCAAAAATGTGGTTACATCAATGCGCATCTACAGAGCAGAGAAAAATTAGTGAAATAAGTTAAATTAGTGCATCAACATCCTTCAGTGAAGCTAATGCAAAGGTGTTATGGGTCTTCTTCTTCTCACTTGATAGTTTATAGTATCTATTTTCAAGTCTTCTTAATACAATATGCTGTGAATTTAGTAAATGATGGTTCCATTTCTAGTGGAAATAGAGGACAAAGCAAGGAATGCCTTGAAGCATTTAGTTTTCCTGCTTGAACTTCAAAACCAAACTACACCAGCTACTGGGGCAAGTCAGTGTAACTACATGCTCTTCTTATAGACAGTCTATGGTTTACATTTCTTTTATCAAATCCTTCCAAAAGAATCTGTGTTATTTCATATCAGTAAGTAGCAGGTATTCATTCAATACATAAGAGGGACAGTTTTCACTTCAGTAAAGTACCCATCACACATTTTCAATACTTACTTACTGTAATCCTAATCACCGGCCCAGATATGGAGCACAACTCTCTCGGGTGTACCCCGCTGCAGCTCCCTTCACTCCCTCTGCTGAACCGTATAAAGGGCCTGCAAGACTTTCACAAGTTCAAAGCAGCCAGAGAGAAAACCCAAAGCGACCTCTCACCCTGTCGATCGTAATAGTCTTGGAGGCATGTCTCAGTCGGAATGGTAAGCCGCTTTCTTGCAGCCCTTTTTTCAACCTGTGCGATCACAAAATTCCCCTGGGCACATGTAGCCATTCCCAAAGTCAGAGGGATCGAGCTAAATAATTGAAGACAGGCAGCATGGAAGTGGGATAGTGATAAATTCTGGGGTCCCAGTGAACAATAAAATCATCAGTTTCAAGTGGAGAAAAGCGATCAGTGTAGATCATTATGTTAGAAAACACAAGGAGTCAAATGACTTGCTCCAGGCAACTGATTATTGCTTTGTGGTGGATCCAATTGCGAGCAATATCTAAATAGTGACCGATCTCTTTAGGCCTTATGTGACTAATTGCTTATTACTGAGTAGATGAGGAAAGTCACAGAGTACAAACAGATGCAGAAACAACGCAAGGAGGGAAGAGAGACCAAGACAGAGTGCCAGTTAAAATATAAGGACAAGTACAGATAGGAACTAAAATGGAAAAGACATACCTGTCTTACGTGACCTTTAAGAAAAAGCGAATTTACAGAGGAGTGAGGTTGAGATAAGGCTAATACACTGAGGGGAACATATTTATTCCAACCTTTTCTCCTGCTGATATTTCACCAAAGAATGGCAAGAAACAAACAGCCGAAGCCCACGACCTGTGATCCTGAACTCTGTTAAGGATTGGACTTGTGTCGACTGACACAAAAGCACTGTGCACAATGTCTGAGTTTCTCCTAACCGGCCTCAGCTGAATGCCCTTCTGTATTTATACCCCTGAACCTACATACCTCTGATAACGTATGAAGCACCCTATACTAATACCTTGCACTCTCAGATATTAGACATTCATTTGCATTCATAAGCAGCACTACCCCCAGGGGGCAAATCTGTGAATATGTTGGATTGTTTAGTCAAAATTACAATACAGCTGGGGCAGTTAATCTTTTGAAAAGCCTGTTAATTTGTTAAGGAGGAAATGGTGTTTGCATTTGCATGTTGAATAAGGAGAAGCTGCAGAGCCCTTTTCCAACCTGTTGCACCCCTCGCTCCGTGGCTAATGAGGCCGGGAATTACTGATTGCACAGGGAGCGCTTAGCATGACGAACACACCGTGACTTCACAGCGGCCTCGGGGCAGGTCCGCACGTGTGCAGGTTTGTGTCTGTGTGCGCACGTGTGACCGTATTCATGAATATTTATGAATGTGTGCTTTTCCAGCGGCTAGGCTTAAAAGCCTGCAATTACAGGCGAAATAATAATTATTAGTTAGCATTAGATCAAATGCAATCAATTACACTAGAAGAAAAAGCCAATAAATGAGCAGATTTTGCTGTGACCCTGACTGGGCACGTGAATGCGTGACAACTAAAGGACGTGTTTTATCAGCTACAGAACATACATCATTTGTACTTGGTATTGTAACATGCAAATAGTAGGTCGGTGTGGTGGGAAGCGATGTGATGCGAGATATTTTCATATCCGTCTACGCTGCTGGAAGGTTTATGATACATGAGAGATCATTTTGTTTCTTTACAGTTGATGGAAGCTTGTGAAAATCACAGCAGCAAGGACACATGACAACGATCAACTCTTTTAAAAAGCAGAATGCCAAGAGTCCAAGTTTAAATGACTTCTCTCTTTGTCCTGCCAGAGGGATACTTAACATTCAAATTAACGATCAGTTATTTGTCAGGATGGAGCTTTAATGTAAGTGTTTTCCCATCATTTTTTTTAATAAGATTAGGATTTGTCATGAGTTTAGACAACAGGTTAAAGTCCTAAACAAGGGGGTGTTGTAGCTGACAGGAAACCTCTTTTTAATGCTCTAACATTGGAGTAAAAACATGTGCTTTTACTAACTACCAGACAAGTTGCTTCACTTTATCCAAACAACTTGTTTAGCTCCACCGATATCTGACTGGTATGTCTACCGGACTACTAGTGTTCTAGTAGACACCCTGTCTAGCAGGAACTTTTGAGTCCAATTTCAGTTTCTATATTGGTCGTTCCGTAGACAGATTTTGCAGTTCTCTAGAAAAACGGTCATGGAACTTTGCAGGTGTGTAAACGTTGAGTTTGTATTAAAAAAGCTCACAGAAGCACACACAAGGATTCTCTGTATTGTTTTGTCCCGAGTTGGACTATGTTGGAGGAGATGGATGTGGGGGGAGAAAAGAGTAACTCTGGAGAACATTAGTAGTCAACAATGTCTTTGCCACAAGGAGAAAACTCACAAGACCTACTTGTAATGTAAACTGTCCACAAACACACACCCACACCAGTAAATCAAAGTGAACTGGCAGTACGCAAACACATACAGACACACACGTCTGGATGGACGTCTGTCTTGAACAAAGATTCACACATTCACCCCCCCCCGCCCACTCCCCTGTGATCACAATGTGAATTCACACCGCCTTCACGGGAATATTAAGTGCTTCAAGGGGTATCATTAAGTAACCTTTTTTTTCCTTCCTTTTTTCTATTATCAGGAAATCCAAGAGCACCACAGTTTTAACCCTGTAGCATAAAAGCAAGGCGCAGCAGAGTGGAGGCGAGATTAATCATCAGCAGCCGGGTGTTCAAATACTCTCCGGCAAGCTGGCAGTCAAGTGCTGTAAAGTAGCTTGTGATTTTCCATCACTTTGAGGTTTAATCTTTCCGTCGCTAATGAGGTAATTTCGGTTGAATTCGAAGTCTCATCCCAACAGGAAACATAAAAAAGACAAACTTCCCAACGATCGAGGTGCAAACACTGGCGCAAAATACCACAGAGAGAAAAATACCCCCTTAAAAGTTCCCATTTACACACATGCTGACGACCGTGACAAACACACACTGCGAGCGCTAATACTTCATGGGAGTTCATCATCGCTTTCGCAAGAGGAAAAGCAATGAGGCTTTTTGGCAGATTTCCTGCTCACCCAGGGTTGACAAATTGCCAGGGCTCTCTGTCACAGCTCCACTTTGAGGCTGCTAACTGCTTCATCTGCCGTGATTTAGATCTTTGGCGTCAAAGTAGCTGGTGGAATGCATATTCCTTACACCCTCATTTGCATTCCACAACAACCAGTCACTTTGAATGGTAATTTGTGTGAGACAAAGCTCAATGAATCAATGACTACCTTGTTGTTGTGTGGAAAACAACTCCGATACAAATTTTTCCTCAGACAGGCAATTTTGAAGGTGAGTACATGAAAACAATCTTCATAAAGCAGCAGGGGTATAATTAAGATGTTATCCAGTCTAAACAGTCCCCTCCAGGCTGTCTAAGATGAAGCCGGGAAGGCCTTAAGCACCATAATGTACCCGTAATGTTTCTCAGAAAGGACAGAAAGGTAAAAAGAAAAAACCCATCTCTCATTTTAGCTATTGCCATTTAAATATATATATAATCTGTAGCAGTCGGTAAATCTCTTCTAAATGGAAGCCTGGATACAAGTGATATTCAGGGTTGTATTTAGATAAAGATTATCATTTTGTGAACGCTAGGTAGTAGAAAAAATACAAGTAAAAAGATTTATTCTAAAGTTATTACCGAGACCTTGACTGTAAAAAGAATAAAATAGTTAAAATCAATGAACTCTCTTCAAACTGTTTTTGGCTTTTGAGCTTTTTACTTAAATTGAACAATGTCAAACAGCTTGTGCTTTAACTTTCATGTGGCGACCTCCCTCTTTCTCATAGAAAACGCCTGCCGTCTGAAATGCACGTTTATTCTGCAAAGGGAAGGAAATATCTGAATGTTGTCTGTCTGTGTGCGAGGGAATCGATCAAGGCAAGTATTGCTCACCGCTGTCTTTTTATCGCTTCTTTCCGTCTGTGATATTGTGTTTTTCATTTGCGATATCATGTTGTTGTAATGACTTGACAAATGACCTAAATAAACAGGACTAATGACGTGAGTGATCCCGGGCAGTTGACTAGCGGTGTCATGGCAACGTTGTCCGTGAACTGGAGTCTGGTGTGGCAAAGCAAAGGATTATCGCTCACACATTTTAAAATCTCTAATGCCAGAGATTAATTCCTGATTTTGCCAACCGCGGATTATTTTGATTAAACAAGCTGTAAAAGTAATTCTTCCAAACAACAACAACAACAACAATGTAGTGTAGTAAATACAAGGTAGTACTGTAACTGCGTTGCCTACTAATTCATCTCAGTGTATTACTCAGGGAGACAATGTCCTCCTTTACACATACAGATATGTCAATTTAAACATGTATTTTTGAATTTAGCGTCTGTGGACTGTTGTCTTTGTGCTCAATGATGTCTGTTAAAATGAATCAGTGAGAGATATTCAGCAGCGCGGCACAGTGAACTTCTCCCAGGAGGAGGCTGACTCACCTGAGGGTGAATATCGGCACTGTGGAAAGCGTGGAGAGAGCCAGAAAAGCGGAGACGGTCTCTCTCTGCCGGATGGGTTTGGAGGGCGCCATCACCACAAAGTTGTTGTCCAGCTTCAGCTCCGACAGCGGCTGAAACAGCCGGACGCTCCCGATGCGCTGCATAGGCGTGTGCCCTGCGAAGTAGCCCACCGGCCTCTGCTGGTCCGAGTGCGCGGCGCTCGCCTTTCTCGAGTCCTCGGCGCTGCAGTCTCCGCTGTCCGTGGTTTGGACCATGTAGTAGAGCTCCACGGGGGATCCCTGGGCCTGCTCAGAGACCCTCTGCCTTCCCGGTCTGACGGTGGGCAGGCTGAACCAGCTGGCCAGGGGCTCCAGCTCGGCAACGCATATCCCCAGCTCGCCTTTGAGCCTGCACGTCCCGCGCACCTCTTGGGTCTCGTGGAAGGCGAACATCCGGACGCAGGGCAGCTTGTGGATGGCGCTGTAATCATCCCAGTCCCTCCCGGCGATGTAGAACAACACCTGAACCTTCGGCCAGCTGGGGTGAATCCGCTCACTGATAATGTAGGTGTGGACCTTCCAGTTGAAGGTGAAGAGGGGTGACGATGAGGGCGAGGTCGGTGCTGATGATGTGGTGAAAGGGGGGGTGTTGAACGGGCCTGGCGTGGTCTGCAGCAGCTCCAGGGGGACGGGCTGCTGGACAGACAACGGCCCGTAACTGGCATTGATGAAAGGCATCTGGCGGGCCTGGTGGATGAAGAAGGACTCGGTGCGAGCCTGCAGGCTGGAGTTCCTCATTAAGTCCTGGTTGGCCTCCTGTAGGAAGAACGCCGACTCTGCGTTGAGGATCCGGTAGCTGACGGGCAGATAGATTGGTGCGGGTCCGTACCTCTGCAGGCCCTCCAAGATCACCTTGCTATCAACCACTGGAACAAAAAGACAAAATAATTCAGTTTCAACAACTGAGAGGAAAACACCTGAGGTAATCCACTTCTGGTCATGCATCATGGTACTTATTGCTGCATGATGAAGATTCATTGTCTAAACCCTATCAACAAACCCGAGCCAGGCGTGAAATCAAAGCGCAGAATGAGAAGAAATTGGAGGAAATAACTCACGACCACATTTAACATAACATTTGCATGCATTGCCTGGAACCTGAGGCAATCGTACGTACAGTCACTTCCTGCAGTGAATGTTAAATGGTTTGTCGGAGACATTTCCATATGATATCCGCTGCGCTTATATAAAATAGTATGTTAGGCCCAAGTCAAAACACATGCGTCTTTCTGAGTCACTGCCTTATCAGTCTTGTCTGTGTTTCCTCCAGCTTTCGATCCTTTTCAAAGTGACAATCTGCATTCCTCTCTCCCGCAATTTTTCCATCTTGTGACTCCTGTTTTCTTCCTTCTTCATCACTCGTTCTTCGTTCCAATCAACTTTTATGCCTCAATACTGCAATAACTTTGCCTCACCCGCCATGTCAGACCCAATTCCATGTACCGCACTCTTCTAATCAGTTTTTCCAGTGCATCACAATGGAAAAGTAACAAACATTGACCGTTGTTAAAATGCACCTAAATCCTTCAATGCATTGCACGAGAGGAAAAGTAGTAGCTAATTCCTGCTGTGAAACATTAAAACTGATTGTGGATGGTGGAGCGACTGGGGAAGATCTTGGAAAGTATCATTGCTTCCAATTTGCATTTCAACACTGCAGTTTAGTTGATATCTTCTCTTTGCAAATGATGCATCATTTCCTGCAACTACAAACTGTTACTAAAGCAAAAAGTACTAAGGCATTTACTGGAAAACATCAAATATTTCCTAATCCAATAAACAAACCACTTCTCCACTAATCTGTTTGCATTAAGACACTGTTAAATTGACATTGATCCACTTAGAAATTTGGCACACTTTTTCCGGTGAAAGCAATAAGATGTGTACGATTTATAGCCCTTATTAGAAGGCCGATCAGAAGTCCAAATTGCCATTTCTAACTTCCTGTTGTTTTTAGAACATCAATGTGCACCTGCACCTTTCACCTTGCTCACCATCCCTGCCTCACGTCTTTAACTGCACGCCTCCACTTCAACTCCCCATCTGATGGGACGTGTTTCACAGCTTGTCAACCTCTCTGCTGACATATTGGGGGGAAATGGTATTGTTTTGTGTTGGTTACGTTACCGAGGTGTCATAGTGGCACCGGTATTAAACAAAGCAAATGGATTTGTTGTCTCGCTCCGTCTCTCTTACCGGTTTTGCTCCCAGCCACGGCACATTCCTATCTTCAACTGGTTTGGCCCTCCAACATCCCCTACATGGCCCTCAAACCTGCTTCCACGCTGCTCTCCATCCTGCAAATCTTCCCCTCCCCCCTGTTTCCCTTAACCATTAGGTTCCAGATATCTGGACTGATGGAGTAGCTCACGAGAGCCCATTGATTTCCTGTTACAGACGTGGCGCGGCAGGGACTTGTGAAGACAGCACAGGAATGGCTTTTCTTTATTTACCTTTTATCACGAGTCTGACTGTAAACCAGCCTAATCGGTTGCCCGATAAATCGACGGGTGCGTTAATATCTGATCCTTTTTGATCCCTTATGACTTATGTCCAGGCATAAGCAGCTGGTCCTAAGCTGAGTCCATTAGATTCTCAAATAAATACAAAATACTTTTCAAAAAACATCCGCAGCAGGGGAAGTGCGCTGTCTGCAGAAATGATATAAAACAGCCAAACAGTGGAACCTAATTCCAGAGCTTCTTTCTATAGTGCATAACCCTGTTAGAGTGAACAGTCTGACACTGATGTGGGTAACAAAGCGCTTGAAATAATACAAATGAATCATCAATATAAATCAACTTCGCCATTATGTTCCGTCTTTGTTTGTTTTTGTGTTCCAAACCTTTCTCTGCTCCACTGCTTCCCTGATGGGGAGGAATGGAGGCAGATGTAAAGACATCCCCTGAGGCCGTTCACGGTGAATATCTGCTGCTGGTACATAGGTGTGACCGTGAAAAACATGTTTATATTCTAAAATGACAAGATGGAGAGCAATGTCAAGAGGGGAACAGTTGCTTAGTCGGTCTTCCTGTCGCTCTTTTTAACTGGTGTTGATGTTGCACACTGTCCTAGTTTCCACTTACAGATGCCGTTACAATACTATGACTACTATATCAGTCATTGCAGCTGAATAAATGTTGTAATTTGCTACTCCAGGTTTAGAATATGTCCCTTTCCTTGACACCAATAGGACGCCTCGAATGGAGAGGTAAAGCCGGGTTGATTTGCGGCTCCCGAGTCGCCCTTGGATTTCACGTCTTCAGCTACTGTACTTGTAAATCATGTCTGCCGGACTGTTTCTGCAAATGAAAAAGGGGATGATTTGTGCTGATAACTTAACCCCTGTGGTAAATCCTGGCTGCAGAGGATTTCCTGTGCAATGCCAGCGGCTCAGGGAGTCTGAAGGCATATAACGCATGAACCGGACTGGCCTCATCATCACACAGATGCTCGGGTCAGGACTTGATGCATTGATGTTATATTCATGTAGTGTGAGCCGGGAGGCCGACGAGAGCATGGGACTCCAAATTAAAATGAATTTAAAGTATTTTCCATGGAATCCCTACAATATGCAGCAACCGACTTCTAAAATAGGCTCTCAAAATGGTATTAAAGCATTCACGTTCCCCGAGACGGCCTTGTGTGGCTTGGATTCAAAGCGCTTCTTATAATCACCTGTTCTCGTCCCTGAAGTAAAACTTCACCCAGGAAAATATCATCTCTTCATCTTTGCCTCCCTGCTCCTCGCCTCATCTTACCCAGCACATGTGAATATTGCAACTGGTGCCCGATCAAACATATTAAGTTGGCCTGACTTCAGTAATACATTCATCAAACATATTTTCTTCCCATCAAGTTTATAGGGGAAGAGGTGTCCGAGGTAAGTGGTGGGAAAACGAAGAGCAGCGGGGGGCGGAGCCGGGAAGCGGGCGGTGGGGCGATAATTGTGGATCGACATCTTGTAAGTGTTCAGAAAAAGTCAAAAGATCTCAGCACAGCAGGAAATGTTGAACCAAATGCGTCTTTCATTGTATGAAGGTTTAGTTTAAAATTAAGACTCTGTTTCTTCTTGTGGAGCCGTCGGGAACACGGCATTGCACTCGGCCTGCTGTAGGAACACCTGTAAGAGTTCACTGCTCTGGAAAAAACAACAACCACGAGTGGTCAATAGCAACGAGGCCGACGAGGGAAATCTCAATCTTAGTTTAATTAAATTTGTACAGTTCTCTTTCGGTCCGTGACATTCTAAGAGGAAAAGTCTGGCATTTAAATTGTTCAGTTCAAGTCGGAAGACCAAAACCACTATTACTGAGAAGCAAAACTTTTACTTTGACTTTTTCCACTGACTTCCAAAATACATCACACACTCTTGCAACATTTTCCTTTCTTACATTGGCCTTATTTTTTCAGCCCCAATAATCTCCTAAATTAGATTAATCCACAGTCCAGAAATGTACTATTTATACTAACATGCTATTCAATGATGGCGACATTGGTAAACAATATATAGCATTTAGCTCAAAGCCCTGAGGTGCAGGCCAACGATAGCCACACGCAATCCACAATCATTTGGGATTTGTGTTTTATGGGCCTGTTGGCAGTCGGAGTGCGCTTGCCATTTTTCATTTCTCTTTCATTTAAGCTGAGTTTAAACTTTCATTCATCATTTCAAAATGTGATAATGACTGTGAAAGGTTCATTCTTCTATTCCTAAATGAGTCACTCAGCATCTTTGAAGGGAGCTGTCCAACTTGAGTGAAGGTTTAAACGTCTTTTCCAGGACTTAATAAAGAATGCACATGGACCTAAGTAGCTGTTTGCAGTATTGTTGAGTATAAAAAGAGAAGCTCAGAGAATCGGGTCAAGAGTCATGTTAAACTAACCATAACATGCCATTTTCAAGCTGTTTGAAGCTCTTATCTGTTCTTCCTTAACACCACTTTTGCATAAAAGAGTACCGTTCCTGTTTTGTAGAGATGAAGGCGCACCTTGTTTTCTTGTCTAACACTGACATTTATAAAGCTTTGTGAAAACCCAAATTGTCGTAGGTCCACAAGCTAGAACATTAAGACGTTATCTTTACGTGGCATTTTCTTTTGTTAAACATTTGCTCTGATTGGGATCCTGCTTTGGAGAGGGACCACTGAGGGGACCCCGAAGTCACCATCGATGGACTTACTGTCGGTCAGTTGGAGACGTAACTCCTTTATTTTCCGCCACAGAACAATGCAACGTAAAGGGTATTTGGGGCACTTTGAGCACCGGATATAAATGTCAACTGCTGCTCTGATGGACGAAATGCCATCGGCAAAGTCAAGAAGTTTAAAACCCTTATCAGAGACAGTTTCTGATCTCGTCTGGTGTGCTCACAAAGCGGACAGGAGCCTGAGCACCGCGAATATTAGCGACGCTACAGAGAACTGTCAGGATCTCCGATCCCCCCCGAGTTGGTTGATGAGAAGAATCGCAGCACGTTGATCAATTAAAGTCACAAAAGGTGTATTTTCTCATTTTGTGGTCTACGTCTATGTTGATTTTTAAATTTTTTATTATTTGGTGTCTACATGTTCAAGAAATAAAATGCTTCTAATCAAATCAAATCAAAAAGTTAACATTGATTTAGAAGAGAAAAAGATTACATGAGCAATTCTCCGCAGATATCTGGCTCTAACTATTGCTTGCAAGCAGGAGGTCCAACACACCAGCACGTATCTCAGCGCTCGGTGTAATGACGTCTCCGAGCAGTAAAAACGCTTTTTTTATACAGTTTATACAGTTTTTATACACATGTGAAGAACATTCTCCGTGCCAGCTACGGGAAGCTGCAAAGCAGGTTGAGATAAGAACCCAGGTGAAGCTGAGG